CCAACTGGTCGTCTTGGTCGGTGGGCAATTCGCCTTCAGAACAGCGATTATCTTATTCAGCACAGACCTGGGAAGGAATATAAGGCTGCTGATGTTTTATCTCGTGCTGTAGATGGCGCATCTCCTGACTCCATCTCGACTGTAGCAATAGTCGTAATTAATGGAGAGGAGACCGATCTCTGGTACCAAAACATAAATCACAAAGTAACGGAAAATCCGGAAGATTTCCCCACTTGGCGTGTTACCGAATGTCGCCTAATCAAATATATGTTTAAGAGAAATCCGTTAAAAGTTGGCGAAAACCAATGGAAGCTGGTGATACCGAGGCACCAAAGAGATGCAGATCTCAAACATTACCACAAAGACCCGACTGCAGGACATATGGAGATAAATAAAACAAGGAAGAGAACTGCCTATATTATTTCTGGCCAAACATGATCCGAGATGCCGCTAAGCTCGTAAAAAAAGTCCTACCTGTCAAATCATCAAAACGGAACAGAAAGCTCCTCCTGGCTTGATGGGCATGACGACCGTTCCTTCAAAATCCTGGCAAATGGATTCCACCGATCTTATGGGACCATTTCCACCTTCCTCGAAACAGAATAGGTATTTGTTGATCTGATTATCTTTTCAAAATTTACTCTGCTTTTCCCATTAAGACAGGCTGCAGCACAGGCAGTAACAAAATACGTAGAGAACGACGTGTTTCTGATGTTTGGATTGCCTCAAGTAATATATTGTGATAATAGTACTCAGTATACCAGTGAAAAATGTAAGAATATGCTAGACAAATGCGGTACTTATTGTCGGTACTATCCGGCCTACCATCCTCAGGCTAATCTTACTGAGAGGGTAAATAGGGTTCTGAAAACTATGATTTCATCTTATGTCAAAGATAACCATCGATCATGGGACAGACATATCGCGGACATTCGGCTTTGCGCTGAGAACAGCTAGTCACAAGACAATAGGCTACACTCCAGCCTTTCTTGACTTTGGACGCGAGTTATTCAGTCACTCCTCCCAATACGTGGTTTGTGATGGATCAAAGGAAATAACTAAGATCGGCGAGAAGCTAACGTTCATCCTAGAAGATGCCAAGAGTCGGTTATGGCGGCCCAAGAAAACAATGCTCGACGTTATAATCTTATATGTAGGCCAGTAAAGTTGGTTGAAGGTCAGCAAGTATTGGTTAAAACGCACACCCTCTCGGACTTAAGTAAATACTTTCAAAAGAGTTTCGTCCGATCTGGTGCATGAGGTGGTCGATGATGCTCGAAGACCGTTGATGAACAGTCACATTCAGGAGTTGAAAGCCAATTCACCAGATAGTGTAAACACTGCAGAAGAATAACCTTTGCCATCCTGAATAACATGCCAGGAATTGAGGACATTTTCACAATTGACAAAATGATGAGAGAGAGGTTATAGAGATTGAGAGATGTTAACCAGAATGAAAACGATCTTTGATTATTTTGTTAGTTATTTTTGGTTTATGTTCTTCCTATTATAAATAAATTGACTAATTATGGATCTGTTATCAATTATTTGGCATCACCTGCAAAGAAGAAATAGTCTGTAAGAAAGAACTTACTCCCTCCACTGGGTAGCCTCTTATTGATTATAATTTTATCATTCTGTTTAAGTTTAAAGAAACGTTACAATACATTTATGCGACTCTAAGCTGTTGTCTAACAAATTTACAAAATTCTTCAAAGCTCGGAACTGTATCCTTGATGAGACTATTCTCGAACATTCTTATTGTATTAGGGTCTACAAGATTCAGTCCGAAATGCAACAAAACCAAATCAGCGAGATTATTGAGTTTAAGATTTTTTAAAGCACTGTAATTATCTTCAAAAGTATCCAGAAAGCTTCTAAAGTTAGAAGAAATATCAAAAGAAAATGATTTAAACCGTATTATTTTGTTAAGATGGTGAGCCTTCAATGATCCTTTTATCACTATAACGCTTTACTAGTTTATCATAGGCCAAGCTATAATTTTCTCCATTAAACTCAATTGAAGAAATGGTCTGTGAAGCAGGATGAACTAAAAGTGACCTGAGATATGAAAATTTGACTAAATCCGTGTAATTTTGATGATGAATTAAGGCTTCAAATAATGATTTAAATGAAAAAAATTGTTCATAGTGTTAAAAAAATTGAGGAATTTATAAATCTGGCAATTTAAGATGCACTACTGGTTCAGACATGCTGGATTGAGCAGGGGAACTATGTGCCCAGCCAATGATTACCAATATTAATCTCTCATGCGCAACTTTTAACTCGTAATAAAGTTCCTCCGCTGCTACAGGAGGTTGCGATTAATTATATCCTATGTTCCTCCTCTAACGATTCATTTAACACCGAAATTATATTCAAATCTGCTTCAAATTCCTTCGGTCGTGCTTTAATTTCTGAAGCCCTAGACATAAAAATTCTGTATCAAACAGGGAGATCCTTCATCATATATAGAGTGGTTTGAATTCCAAGAAACAAACTTTTCTTTCTGTCATTAATAGCTTTAAGTCCCTCAGTACTCTTAGTTAGTGCCATTTTCAAAGTTATTAAAAAATTAAAAGTTCAAAAGTAAATTTTAATTGCAGAAGGCAAAACACATTTTCTGCAAAATAAATGCAAGCAGGCCAAGGCAAGTAAGGATTAACGTAAGTAATAACGAAGTCACTTAATTCCTGCAAGTCACTATATGTTCTTTCCTGGAAACTTATCTGGGATCAGCTTGACCTCCCCAAATACCAAACGAAAGAATTAGATATACGACATAAGATATAATTAAAAAAAAAAAACGAATTAATAGGTGAAATACGAATATTAGCCGAGTAATATACGATTTTCACAAACAAAATTTTATTTTTATTACTCTGACGCCCCCAAATACGCATCAAAGCAAGAAACGACATAAGATACATTTAAGCAAAAAAAAAGAAAAAGAATTAATAGGTGAAATATGAATATCAGCCCGAAAATAGACGATCTTTACAAAACATATCTGCACCCATCACTCATTGCAAGGAGACAATACATCTTTATCTTTACCAATATTATATTCGGCTTTGATTTAAAAAAAAAAAAATTTTCTAGAAAATTTAATTACGTTTCAAGTAATAATATGTAATATTTACCTATAAATATGTACTTTTTGAGATATGCGCTTATAAAACTCATTTCCATGACATTTTCCAACTATTATATGGAATGTACTAAATATAAAAAGTTAATAGGATGTATGGATACAGCAAATTTCATCAAAATCATTGAATCCGTTTTGGCCATACAGTCTAAAGAAAAATTTGTTTTTTAACTATTGCTCGAAGCCCATAAAAAAAAAAAAAAAAAAAAAAATCAGTCAACCAGTTTAAAAGATAATCATGCTACAGGCACAATAATAAAAGAGTAATGAATGAAAATGTGTAATTGGTCTCAGGAGACTGAAAGGTAAAGATCTTTTGAAAACTTTACTGGATTACAATAATTTCATTAGCTTGTTTTTTTTTCCACAAACTATCTTCACTATCTTTGTCAAGTTTCATAGTATAGTAATATCTGGTACAAGTAGAATTGAATTAAGAAGAATCAACACAGAAATTTATTTTTTATTAGCTAATACTGTATGGTATATACATTAAATATATTTGTGGAGATACATAGATATTATTATTCATTTTTTTAAATACGTCATTCAATATAATAAACATAACATCATAAGAATTGTTTTACAGAATTATTGGAGTCCGAAAAACTAATTCTAAAACAAGCAACTGCATTAAAAATCTGAAAAATAAATTACATATGTACATAGTATCTACATATATCTAAAACTTAATACTGCCACATTCTTCTTTTTTGTTGCACAAGATCATTTTACTCATAGAAATTTTCATTATATTTAAATAGCATATAACTCTTGCAAGTAATTTGTATTTGTAAAAAAATATAGAATCAGTTACATCAGAAACAATACATAATTTTGAAGACAACACAAAGACTTATTTTTTGCCTCTAAATCTACAAAAATACATGGTGTAGACAGTAGATCTACTCTTTATTTATAAACTTTTTTTGCATTAATAGATTCCATTAAGAACAATATACCCACCAAGAACACTCAACCCAAAGCTAGCACAAATTACACATGTATTGTTTCTGAAATAACTGATTCAAACAAATGGTAAAGTATAATGACTTCTCTTGTTGCTCCAAAAGCGCTTTCTGACACACCTCTTGTTTAGAACCACTTCTTATATAACCTCCATTTTAAAAATACTTCCTTTTAACAACTATAAAAATCTAAATAGTTTTCCTAAGAACATTAATTCATAACATTAAATATATGAATAGTGAAATCACATTATTACAGTAATGTACAGGGCTACAACAACAAATTGTCTAAAGGCAAGATAAAATAACCCTAATCTCACTAGTTACTTATTATTCCTAAAGTCAGTAAACCAAACTAAATTTAACTAATTGTTTACAAGGAATTAATCCAATTTTATTAGTGACCATCACAATGAAAGAGGAAATTTTCATTTATTTCTTGTTGTCACCACTAAAATCTGATTTTATATTTGTTATATATGATTTTATGAAGAACGGGCTAGTGGTGGCTATAAGAACTTAATTAGTCCTAAATACGATTTAAAACAAAAAATCTTTCAAAATGGTTTAGTGACTTTTGGACATTCTAGAATCATTGTAAATACACATATATACATTTAATCAGTTGTGAACACTTAACTGATTAAGCTTGGCAAACCATGTAAAAATAAATTTAAATCAATGTCATTAGTTCATATTGAATCTTATTCTAAACATGTTATAATTTAGAGCTGACATTCTGCATGGACTAGTCAATGATAAGATAAATTATGATCCGTTTCAAAAACAATACTTCACATGAAAAAGGTCTGTTTAATTAAACAGAGATTTAAATTTCTTTTAGGATACAAATTATATTGCTAAATCAAAACAGCACTGCATCACCGTTTCATTGACTTATCCTTTACATTTTGTTCTTTTGTAGAGTGATATAATGTGAAGATAGAGATAGTTTTGGGAGAGGTATTTTTTATTAATGTGATATTTTTAGTAAATTTAAGTAAAATTCCTATTAATAGCAACACAGCTGCTGATCCATATATAAAACGAAAGAGGTAGTTTTTCATGAGAGTTATATCTTCTATCTTTTCTATTTCGTCATACCAACATGCCCAAGTGTTATTCCAAAGTTCTGGGTCAGCTCGCAAATCACTGTCCACATTCCGAGCCTTTACCATAGATTTTCGATACCTGAAAATGAATATATTACTGATATCTTACAATTATATCAAAAAGGTCACTATCTTTTTTTTTGTTGTACAATTTTAAAATAATATTAAGAACAAGTGATGTGTTTTATTTATATTTAAGATAGATGGGTATTAAGCATTGCTAAAAATTTGTATGCAGTAAAAAAACTAATAAACTATAATGAAACCCTAAAAATGTGCAAATATATATACACATAAGTAATTCCAATTTGAAATTGTTTTAATGATTACAGCAGTTTGCCAATGGTCCATTTCAATTAATCTTATGCAAATGAATCTACTAAACACCAGTAAGGAACTGGACTAGTATTCCAGACACAGTTATTATACTTCGTCTTTGACAAAAAAAAAATTATTGATTTACCCATTCATAAATCTACCTGCATATGAAAGCACAAATGAAAAACAATATTCCGACAATTGGTCAGACAAACTATACTGGCAATGGCATTAAATTCTGATTTATGATTGCAAGCAGTGGAAATGATATCCATTATATTGAATATTAAATAATCATATTCATATTGATTCAATTTAAATATTTACTTGAAAAAAAAATTGATTTCTTGTAACACTAAATATTTGTATTAATAGATTAACGCAGACAAGAACAAATACCCATAAGATTATTATATTTTGTGAAGATAATTTTAAATTATATTAATTTATGGTTCCCTTTTGTGCAATTTTAATTTTTAATTTAATCCATATTAACTCTCGGAATAAATAATTTAAAAAATTACCTCTGTAAAGCTTTTTCCAGTGAATGTAACACATGTGGATATTCATAGGCGAGATTTGCTTTTTCACAAGGATCATCAATGACATTGAAAAGACAAGGCTCTATGAGCGGATTGCATTCAACTTCAGTATGGTTGGAGTTGCATATTACTTCAGCCTCTTGTCTTAACTTTAGCATTGTTGCTTCATTTAACAGAATCCATTCTTTTTCTTCTGTAAAACATTAAAAGTTGTAGACAGTGATTTTACTTATAAATTCTATCAAGTTGTAATATATAATCTCTCACACCAACAAAAACTTATGTGTTCATTAAAGAGATTATATTTCTTAATTGTTTAATTTATTATTCACATTTATATTTAAAAAATACTGAAATGTGTTTAAGCTGTAGATTTTTTTTTAATTTGTTGTAGAAATAGCGAATATACTGAAAATTAAAAGTAACAGAAATAAAACAAAAAAACATGATTTCTCAAACAATCAGGATATTATTAAATGTAGAATTTATATCTGCGCTAATGACTGCTCAAATAGGTAAATCTACAAGTTAAAAAAATAAATTAAAAGAAAAAATAAATCAATATTGGTGCAAAAGTTTAGGTAATAGAAATTTTGAAAATATTCTTCTCATAGCTAACAAGAATATTGATTGTAGAATAATGAAGTTTAAACTAACTTAAAATTATATCAATATATTATAAAAATATAAAGCATTTTTAAAGATAAAATAGGGTTAATAAAAAAAAATTAGAAGATGTATCACTTGGAAATATTGCTCGTTTGGGGCATAGAGGGCAAAGGCCTACTATGCTTAAAATAATATGTTTGCATAAATTTGTTAGTACTTTATCAGATCATTAATAACAAGAGTAATAAGTTTAATTATTTCTAATTTAATAAAACTATTTAATATATATACAAAAACAAAATGGAATTTATTTATTAGAATATTAGTTTACCTTTATCATCTTCAATGCTATTCATAAATGGCGATTTTTTAATATTTTTCTGAATTTGTTTTTTAATAATATAGCCTGATATTGCCATTCCTGTCCTTGACAACAATATTTCTTTTGTGTTATAATCAATATCCAAATCTCTTCCAATCTCTCCATACCACCCATTATTTCTTTCACCAGTTGCAGATCCTAGAATATAATATTTTTTTTACTTTAAAGAAAATAAGATAACTAATGTTTCGTAATAATATTATATTGGAGGATTTTACAGTACCCTCAAATCTTCAACTGTAAATAATTTAACAGTTTTTGTTTGTTATTTTTGTGATAGAAGTTATCTAGAAAAAAAATAATGTTTCCACACACTCCCCCCTGTTAATGTGTTAAAAAATGATTAAGAATGATAATTTATCTTCAGAGGGTAATAAATTACTTTTATTAATCATAGAAAAATTTAAAACATTTGTTGATTTATAGAAATTATAATTTAAAAATGTGTGAATACTTCTTACTTATGTTTTTTAGATCCTTTTTGGAACAATTTATAAATACATTTTACTTATAATTAAACAAAACAAAAATGTACAAACAAGTGTAATCTTTACAAATAAAAAACATTAAGGAGACAAATCAATTTTAATTAATAGATCTATCCACAGTATTTGATAATGAAGATTTTTAAATTAAAACAGAGCATTCAATCCAAACCTATGGAGGATTGATGGATAGGAAAAATTATTCAAGCAGCTAATGACTCTTGGCTTCCCGGGACCATTAATAGTTGCTGTTACAGTAAGAGCTGGATTAGTAAAATAGCAGAAGCAAATGTTACAGACACTGCATTCGTGAGGGTTCTTGCCCACAGTAGAAAATGTTAAGCTTGTAAAATTTTTTTTACGAACATTATGGTATGCTAGTGGTTAATAATACTATTAACAGTGACGAACGTTCTTTTTGACATTAAGTGAACAGTCATGATGGGATAAGATCCTTTAAGTAACCTAGCTTTGGTTAATGAACCAATGTGAGCTCACATAAATGAATGGTGAATGTAATGTACTTAGAAAAGTTTATTTGTTTAGTAATTATTTTCTAAATCTGCACACATTAAATCAAGAAATGTTTGTGTTTTACTTTATCATCAAGCAAAACATCCTGGGCTTCTGGTAACGTTTGATACAGGCCCAGTGATCTATCTCTAACTAAAGTTGAAACTTTCAATTGTAACTGAATAATTTTTATTTCATTAAATGCTATGTTGTCACTCAATTTCTTTGAGGAAAGTATTTGTTTTTTTTATTCAATATTATATCAGGTCAATAGTTAAATACAATATGTTTAATATTTATTTAAAAAAATAATATCAAAAGACTTGGTTGATTGATCAATTGGTATACATTGTATGAAACATATTCTTGCGGGTCAAGGGTATATAAAGTGATTTAAAAACGAAATTCAAAATTGAATAAGCTCCATAGAATGCTAATCACAAACAACAACAAGTGAATAGCATATACCAATTATTTTTTAGTATAAAATTACCTGTTACATATTTCCAATCTCCTTTCCGCAAAGCTGCATAGGCATTGGCAACATCATCTATATTATAAAGAAATTCTTTTCTTGGAGAATCTTTGTTTTCTGATATAGCCTCCCACATGTCAAACCCATCTATGTTTCCCAACGTTTTTGTATCAATACCTACATTTAAAAAACATATTAGGATGTTTTCTATTTCACTTATTTTAAATTTTAATCTTACATCAGATTGCTTTTCAATATTAATACCTGCAATTGAAGCAATAGTTGGAAGCCAATCGGTGATGTACATCATTTGGTTTGAAACTCTTTGTTGGTTTTTCAGCAGCGGGCTCCAAATTGCTGCTATTCCTCTATTACCTCCTTCCCAAGCAGAGTTTTTAATCTGGAAAAAATAAATAAAAAAATAGAACGATTTTATAATCAGTTTACTTATTTTATTTTTTGATCCCATTATCAATGCTCCTTATGGATCAACTATCATTATATGTTGATTTAAAAGTTAGTAAGACAAATCATAATTTAAATTTAAAATACTTAATTATTTATTATGAATGGATAATGTTAACTACAGAAATCCCAAAACCAAATAAAATGTTTTCACATTATAATAAAAATATATTGAAAAAAGAGAGAGATTAGTTTCAACAAAATAATTGAGGCCAATGGCATAAGAAAGCAGATCAGCCATACATAATTAAAAATAAATCAGATAAAAGTTATGAATAGAATATAATGAATCTACCATACATGATTAGATTATAAATATAATGTGAAGTTATGAAATTATTAAGATTCTAAAATCAAAACTTCAAGATTCAAAAAGTATTTAAGTGCTGGTATATAACAAATATATTAATGTTTCACCAATTCAGGCATCATGAGAAAAGAAAAATAACACCACATAAATGCAGACAAAATACAATATATCTCACCTCAAAGTTTTAAAAAAACACACTTCAACTAGAGACAGTACTCCAAGACATCTCAACATTTTGTTTTAAAATATACATATATGTTGAAATGCCTTTAAGTTATGCACTAGTCTTTAGTAGATGCAAGATGTACTTTATGTTTTCTGCAATTATGTAATCTAATTTTAATGTTTTGATGATGTGAATACGAATTGCTGAAATAAATTGACTGATTGATTAGTATTTTGTATTTAAAATACTTTCACATTTTCAGAGATTTTTTTATTATAATATAATTATATATTATATCAATTATTTATTTGAGCTTACCCATCAATATTCTTAACCTCAAAGTCTTTACAGTTTTCCTTGAAACCAAATTGAAATCGAAATTCGCAGTATTTAGACATCCCGATTCAAATTAGGTAATAATCCATTGGCAAGTGATACTCAAACTAATAATATCATTCAATGTATAGTAAAATATATATTTATAAACACGCAGAAAATTGATAGCCATTTTATTCTTTCATATTATTATGTATAATGTTTATAAATTTCCAACCAGTAAGAAATCCATACAAAATGGTACTGTTTCTTATTCCACCCAATGTGATGCCTCAATTTCTAGAATAGGAATAAATTCATTGATTGTTTTATGATAGCCTTTGACCAATATGAAACAGCATACTTCGATTCTGTCATCAAGTTTCAAGGTATCTGTCTAGTTTTATTGACATATTCATATAAACTAAAATTAAGCTAACCATGAATCAAAATGCAATAAGTAGCCCTTAGAAGATCACTGTAAATAAAAATAAAGACTGTAGAATTGACGCTTTCATCAACTGATTGGTAAGCATTAATAAACAATAACCAAGTTAATGTGATAGGAAATATCTTTTGTTTAATCCGATTGCAAGTAATCAAAGTCTAGACAAGAAAGCCATATGAGAATTTAAGAATATTTTGTTACATATGTCCCTTTAAAAATACTGTTTGAATAGTTTTATCATAATGATTGAAGGTTATAGAAAAAAAATATCAATTGAAACTATTAATCACGTAAAAAATAATATTAAAATTAATGTAACTGTTGAAACTTACTCCACGTAATGGATAATTCGAACCCCGGTTAGAGTGAATACCATGTGTTGGAGCACCATTGTCAGACATGAATACTATAACAGAATTATCAAGCATGTCTTTCTCTTTCAGTGCTGCTACAACTTCTCCTACGGACTCATCCAGTTTCGCTACCATAGCTAGAAAAAAGTAATAATCGTTTATTTCATAGTCATATCAGTTGTGTGCTATAATAAGGGTAGATAAATTGAATGTTTTTTTTTACCTGCATACACTCTCCTTTCCGGATCTTGAATGTGTGAAAACTTGGCCACTACATCATCGGGTGCTTGGAAGGGATCTCTCATGTTGCCTGTGTGAGGTGCTAGATGTGCAAGATAGAGAAACAAGGGGACATTTTTGTCGTGTTCCTGGATCAGGCGAACAGACTCATCAGTGAAGAGGTCAGTAGAGTATTTGCCCATAGCTGACCAATCGGTTTCTAAATTTCTTCTCATGTCGTATCCATCATATGGCTCATACTGAAATGAAGAAGATTAAAGAAACTGAGTATTTATTAGGAGATAAATATTAACAAAGAATATATATGTAACTCTTATGAATAAGTAAATCTGAATAAAAAGAAAAACGAATTTTGTTGACCTGTTGGAAAAATGGGGAGCTATCACAATGTAGAATTTTATGTTATTTCTCTAACGATCGATTTTTAAACTTTTTTATATTAAATATTATTTTTTTATATTAAATATTTATTTTTTAAAATCAAACATTTTTTAAGGTTTTGAACTAATCATTTACTTTCTGCGTGTTTATAAATATATATTTTACTATACATTGAATGATATTATTAGTTTAAGTATCACTTGCCAATAGATTATTGCCTAATTTGAATCGGGATGTCTAAATACTGCGAATTTCGATTTTAATTTGGTTTCAAGGAAAACTGTAAAGACTTTGAGGTTAAGAATATTGATGGGCAATCATTGAAAGTTATCCAATAGTTGGAGCATTATACTGTTCAGTATTGTAAGCTACAGGCAATATACAACACGAATCTTCCGATTGACCATTTTTGCGTTATTGGTGTCATGAAACAATTTTAGGCAGACGTATGATTATCTTGTGTATTTTAAAGTTCATTTCAATAAATTGAGCGAGAGATATTTGTATTTAAGTACTACTTTTGAACACTGGGTTCAATAGAAAACATTGACTAATTAGAATTGAATTGACCTGGACGATAGAAAGAAGAATGTGTTGGAAGTTGATATATCATTACATACTTATCTGTACAGTGTCAGTACTCAGGCCAGGTTTGATGTTTTTTATTTCAATTAGTGTAATACACCTCTTATATTAGGAAAAATAATTTGTACTAATAATTAATGTAAGATAAATAATTATTGGAATTGTTTACTTACTGTAGCACGGACAGAGTGATTATAATAATCATGGAAGCCTTGCCAATAGCCATAATGCGTATTGAATCCTCTTTTAGTTGGAGTATATTGAGACTTATAAAAACCTAGGTGCCATTTGCCTACCGCATGTGAGACATAACCGGCTTGAGCTAACACCTCAGGGAGTAGTGTTTCACCAAGTCCAAGACCCCATGGCTCTGATTCAAGGATCACCAGATGTTGCATTCCTGAAAAGTTTAAGAAGTTTTTTAGTTCAAGTATAAATAATATATACAGAAAATATAAGGTTTTATAACATAACCATTAACACACATTTAAAGTAATAATATAATAGAAGAAGGTAAGAAATTTTCATAGCCGAATGGACATTTACGGTACCAAGGGCACTAGAACCGCTTATATGTTTCCGACTTCCAGAAAGATCTTCTGTTTTATAAAGAACTAATTTCTAGTTTCGTAGAAGAGGAATTCCCAAGTCTGTCACTACATGTCACTACTAGTTTTTCCTTAGTTTATCAAAAACAGTATTTTAGTTTTGGAGCAATGCTACTCCTAAGGTGTTAACTTCTCCTTTCTTTTTATGTGATGATTTCTGTGGATTATTGAATATTAACAATATAGTTGCATAGTAAAATTGTTTGGCTTAGATAGGTTTTGTTTTAAAGACATCAGTAATGTAAATAGGTTCAAAGCACACTGGTAGAGACTTAGTTTTTATGCAGTATCAAAATGGAGTCACAAATTACAGATTTTTACTAAAGGAAAATAAAGAAAGAAATCTAGACTAGTCTTAAAAAAGTCGTGTGTATCAGTTTTATTTATCAGTTATCAGGAAGGCATTGAAAAAAACAACTAAGATGTGTGCTTTAGACCACACGCTAGAAATAAAAACACCAACATGGCGAGATTAATAATATGAAATATAAATTATAAATAATAATAATTATAAAGAGGATGAAATGCTGAAAAATTCTCTCGCTTACAATACGCAGGTCCGATTTTTAATTTCTGAAATATTTGTATCCACGTCTATCATAAAACTCGTTATCATTTAGTTTTCGACATTATGTTTTCCTTTTCGCTTCTCTAAAACGGAGTCGCATTAAGATACAATGTTGAATAATAGCCCTTTACATAGAGCATGCTGAACATTTCCTTCGCTAACGATATGCAGGTCTGATTTTCAGTTTTTGAGATATTTTAAACCATATCCAAAAACACTTCAATTAGTCGACTCCAGCAGGCTTTATCCGAGCGTTACACATCGGAGATTTGAGAGCTCAATCTAATTCCCTCTCCGCAAACAAGAGCAAAACGCGCCTAAAGAAGTTTTCACTTAAAAAAAATCGAAGCTGTTAAAATTTTTAATCACAATAAAGCTTTTTAAAACAATTTATTATGAATGTATTGATAGCTATAATTTTTGATCAAACTTACATTTATTAATTTATAATAATTTGTCCACAGAAGAGGTTGGTTCTATTTGAAAGCAGTTAGTACATAACAGAGATATAACAATTTCCCAACACAGTGGAATTTTATTTGTTGCTTTGTTTTTAGAATAAAAGCTCACCTGTGTGTATGGGGTATTTTCCTGTGAGGAGGGCTGCCCTGGAAGGAGTGCAGAGTGCTGGGCTGTAGTGCTGGTTCAAAATAACTCCGTTGTAGGCCAGAGCGTCGATGTTCGGAGTCGGAATCTGGTCCGAACCGTGGAAGCCCACGTCATTCCAACCCTGCAGTACAACAAATTTAAGAAAAAGTAGTTTTCGATAGCTAGTTTAGATGAGTAGTTGAGATCGGTAGGGAAGTGAGAAAAACATTTATGTTTCATAGATCGTCAAAAGAAGTAAGAGTAAATCAGTTCAATATATGCCGATTTCAAATAAATTAGTGAATGACACTTGAACACAATTATAGGTAATAAATTATTAATTTCTTGAACGTTTAAGTACATCGACGCTGATCTTTATAAATTATTGGTTGAAAAGTAAATAAATGAACATACTCGGATGGATTCTTGTTGGTGGAAACTAGATCAACTTGACGTAAGATAACCTACCATCGAACAGATTAAACTAGCTAAGGGATTAGAAAGACTTGCCTTTAAGAAACATATTAATAAATTACCTACAGTAGAAATCTCTCGAAGAGCCAAGCTAAGATATATTTAGTAGAGCTGTTTAATTCTTGATTTATTTTACGGTACTTATCTAATAGCGGGTAGCGTCAAAACCTCCCTTCTTATCTAATCTCATTTCAGATAACCGAAGTTATTCTGTTGTTTAGTTTTTGTTTCTTGTGCCAGATGTGAGTTTATTTAATTATGGATCTTGTCACATTGTGGGAATTGCCGTCTTCAGAAGAAGAGGCTATCAAATATTTTCAAGACGACGGTATATCTGATAAGGTGAAATATTGTGATGAGGATCATATGCTGTTTAAGTAGTTTTTTATTATTTCATCTTTTTTTTGCCTATTTTTATTATTTCATATATATATATATATATATATATATATATATATATATATATATATATATATATATATATAAATAAATTGTTCACAATTTCAATAATATGAATACAATACAATAAGTATGAATACGAACATATAATATTATGAATATAATACAATAAATATGAATACGAAGAGCTTATCAGTGTTAAGGTTATAAACATTGGCAGATAGCAGTCGGACGCTACCCGCTATTAGATAAGTACCAATTCGCACCATATATCGGCCAGTAATCAAATGGTAACAGGGGTGCCCATCCCCCCCCCCAAGGTCGATGGTGCAAGAACCTATTCTCTCCTAAGAAGATATTTTAGTACTACCTTTTCATAAAAACAGAGCAAAGGAAAGTAGAATTCGAGAAGTCGTAGATCATACACAACTAAATTTGCTACAGTCTGTTCCATGTCTTCTCCTTGTCCCTTATTATGACACTTACATTTCAAAAACTCATTACTCCGTTGGAATGTTCCCCCCCCCCCTCCCTCCAAACGTTTGAAAGTGGAACTTGATCGGTCTTAAAATCTCCTTCTGGGGGCACCTCTGTATATAAATATATATATAAGGGCACCTCTGTATAATATATATATAAATAAGTAAATGCACTATACTATGGGAAGACAAATTTCTTTTCCACTCACTTATATATAAAATATTTTGGTAGTTATAAAAAATCCTTTCTCTAAAGTAAATTAATTTTATTTATTTGAAATAAATAACTTCTCACATTGTTAGTAAAAATACAAAATGGTAAATGGTTTGTAAACATATACAAACTCTGAAAGAAATGTATAGTTAACCTTCTCCTATTTCTATAAGAGCTATTTCTATATTGCCCTTATTTTTATAAGGTATAATTCTGGTAACGTGGTACAGAGAACCAACGACCAACGAAGACACCTCATCGCATTCAAGCTTGGCACGACTTAACGCCTGCGTAATTTATGATATATCATAGATAAGTAACGTGGGTTACCGATTATACTATGTACATATACATGTGCTATTTAGCTTTATCTTCTAGTGATTATTTTCTGAAAAAGTCTTTATAATCCTGTTTTTTTTTTCACTTTAGAGCAGGGGTCCAGAAACTTTTTACGGTCCAAACATTGAGATCAATCATAAATCCCGCTAGCATAAATGAGACAAACAAAAAAATCCATCCATTAAATGAATGAACAATTAACCACTTTTCGAGCGATTTACTAAATTTCCTAGGTTTAAAATATTTTTTTTAATTTTTCCATACAACAAAAAAAATTTCGCGGGCCGTAATTTGGAGACCCCTGCTTGTATTTATTGAATGAACCTCAAAATCTCCAGCAATATAATATGTACTATTTAACAGTCAAGAAAAAAAAGACATTATATATATATATATATATATATATATATATATATATATATATATATATATATATATATATATATATATATATATATATATTTATTAATAATTATGTATTTTCACAACACATTAATTAATATAAAAAATTATAATGACTCACCATATCGTCCGCGAGAATAAGAACGATGTTGGGCGGTTGACGAGCTGCTGACACATATAGCACGCATGCTATTGTCGCTACCAATCCACTTGTTAACTGCATGCCACCTCACTGCACTCTGCGCACACAATTACAATAATTAGTTATTACACTACATATAAATAACAAATTCGATAACACAAATAGGATTTGAAGATGTTACAATTTCGATTCTGCAAGATTAATTTTATCAAATTGTCAATCGCGAAGAATAAATAAAATAACTGAAGTGGAAAAAAATATCTATAATATAACAAAAATATAAGCATTAGAGACTGACCTAAGCCAGGGAAAGATAGGAAGCTGAGTGAGTACGAAGCTTGAGCTACGTTCCTTCTTATACCCAAGGGGAAACCCCGTGTCGTTCGAAAGACCGCCTCGGAAACTTGGTGGTATGTTATTAACATAGGCTCTGGATACAGCGGTAGGGTGCATCGGGGTGTCCAGGAATGCAAGTAGGAGGAAAGTTAAGAAACTTTGGAAAAGCATTACGTCAATATACGATGTTATGAGCGGCCTTCAGATTGGCTAAGCTCGACGTCGCAGTGGTTGATTTTCAGTTCACCAACTTAACGATTTCCGTCATATTTATTTGGACTACATAAACTTAAAATATATTAAAATATTTGATTTTAAAATAATTCTTAGTGTAATCTCCGGATAACAAATTGATATTTAATATTTACTTGAACATTCTGATGTTTAATTATTAAATCAAAATAGTATCCAAGTTTGTTACTTCATATTTTTAATAAGTTTGACTTAGCAAAGTAATGATACTTGTTATTCATAATTTTGACGCGCCCAATCTCAATGATGTGACTTAAATGATGGTGCATTTAAGTTATGCACAAATCTGTCACGTGCGTCTTCGTTCTCTGGTTATTCTTAAAATGAAATATCCCTGAATAAAAATTCATTATCAAGTTTTAATCTAAATTTAAAGAACTGGGCTTTATAGTTGATAGAGGTATATCAAAGAATGATATGAAATGTTTATCTCTAAATTCCCCAAATTTATCAATGTGCTCCCACCTCCACCTCTCCCCTAAATAGAACTTTGATTTTTTTTATTGGGCCATATATATTTCTTTGAGTGATCTAATATAAATGATAAACAATCGCAATACGTTCTATTTTCAAATCATAAAGTAATTACTTCACTTATATGTAAGCACGTGTCAAGAAAAAAAAATATGGTTACTATTTTTTTCATTTATAAAAAATTATATTTTTTATACAACAAACCATCAAGCACCATTTAATCATAATTTAATATTTATTAGTCCTGATTAATTACCTTAGTAATTATTTTTAAAAAGTTAGTCTCACTAAATTGAATCATAAATCCGCAACTGACTTTTGCCACACTCAAATATCATGGCCGAAACATGCGATTGTTTATAATCATTACCAATTTTATGATATGATGTAGAATACTTTTATAGTTGAACAGAGGTGTATCTAGGGTGGGGCAGGTAGAGCACGTGACCTGGTCGACGTTCAAAAGAGAATGAGAAATTGGCAGTGTTAAAATTAAAAATTCAACTGAACAAATAACACTACCAACATACTTTTAAATAATCTCGGGATTCGTTCTTCTGGCGTGCTGTGGCGAACGAGCGGGAAGGAATCCGGGCGGCGCACAGTGGATCGCGTCTTGCAGTCTTGCAGTTCTTATTAGCTTATTACAATAGAGATATTACGGTATTTTTTTTAGATAGGAAAAACCTAACTAAGCCCGAATGAAAAATTAGAGGAGTTAAATGCAAAAGTGTATTGGTAATACGAATTATTAATATATAGTAGTTAAGATGGTCAAGTATTAGTAACTATTTTACCTTAATTTTTATTTATAAAATCTATTTTTTTTACAGTTCTGGTCTTGGTCTTGCAACACTAGTCGTGTTGTAGGTTTTGTAAAATTGCTTGGTTTGAGCTGGTGGTTCATAATTTTTTATTGCAACTTTGCCAACTTTTCATTGTCATTCTGCTTAACTAGCAGAAAATATAATAATGTATTGTTTTACTCCGATTCTAATGCCTATTTCATTAACGAAAATAGGTGTTTTAAATCAAAATTTTACAAAGACTTCATCCAATTCCTCCGGAAAATCGATTTTTTTTAACTTTTAAGGAATCTTAGTTTAACAAGAGTTCATATTAATTTTAACATTAATATTGAAACATTATGGTCCGCCTAAAGTTAGTAAAAAAGATATTTTAAATTATTTTTGTAGGTGTGAATGTCTGAACAACTTCTAAGTATGTACTAATATCTCTTATAACTGAACATTTCTCAAATTTAGCTTTAACATCTGTATTGACGAAAAAGAAAATAAGGTTCTGTAATTATTTGTTTCGAAAAATACTTCAAACAAAAATAATAGTAAAAAACATTAAATTAAATCTTTCTTTTCATTTTTTTAAAATGTTTTTTTGTCTACCTAGATAAGAAATAAACATTTATATTATTCTTTTAACTTTATATAACTATAGTTTATATTTCATCTAATCTGAATAAATAAACAAATGCAACAACGTTAAATGAACTAAAGTTTAAAATGAAATTAAAGGTGAGGTCAAGGGATACCTATATAAGACGGCCTCATGGAAAAAAAAAAACTTTTATTCCACTAATATTACTGTCTGTTAGTAATAAAGTATAATATTTTCACTCTCCAACCGTTATTCTATTTAAATGTCATTGCAATTTCATCAGGGTACATTGAATCTCAGGGTATTTGGTTGAACTTATATGATTTGAACTGAATCAGTTATTCGTAATATAATCTTTCAAAGTAATGAAAAAAATATGTATTCTTGTTTTCGGAGAATGTGAGCAAGTATCGATGATTTTTAAAATTTGATTGTGATACAAATAAAATAAAACATTTATTATACCATAAGAACTATTGTGAAATGAATATTTATGATTGACAAATGATTTTTACACTATATTTTTTTAGTTATTACATATAAATATATTATAATTATATTTTATGTTTTATTGTGCTTATAAAATTAAAAAAAAAATAGAATAAGGGTTACATGTTACTACGCAGGCAGCAGATATAAATAGGTATCTAAAGTTATGCGTTTCAAGATGTCTTTTTCATTTTCGAAGTTAATTTATTGTCCTATTAAAAAAACTTCCAGGTTTAAACAAAGAAACATGAGATCAGAAAAGCGGAAAAATATCAATAATTTTAAATTGATTTTTGAACGAATGAGATTATGCGTCCTATCTTTGCTCATTTTAAAGCGAGAAGAAACGTATAAAACTGATTTCGAAAAAATCATCGATATGTTGGCCACGCAGAAGGTCAGGAATGTACAAATGTAAGTGTAACGATTTAACGGACTTGCTTTTGTTATAAAATAGAAAACAAAATGTTTTGTATGATTTATGGCAGTTTTATTTAGTTACTTTTTTTTTTTTTTTTTTTATAGTAAGGCAAATTACGAGGGGCTGTAAATTTCATTTCTGTGCCCTTGGCGCTATTTTCATTGGTATGCCACTTTTTTTTAGTACTGTGGTGGGATTTACTTGGAAAATGATTATTGAGAAAGAGAATGATTATTGCCAATCTTTGTCGTAATGTTCTCAAGTTACAAGTGGGATATTCTTTCACTTAAATTTGACATGCTTATTGAACGTTCTACCTTGAAATGTAAATGCACAACCTTAAACCAAACTTCAGGAACGTAAATCACAATTTCGAGGGGAAAAAAAACGCCGTTAAGTACTTTATCGGATATGTTTGACACATGGATAGAATTTTTATAAAATTTTTATACTCTCTATACTTCAGTAATTAATAAATTGATATTAATTTTAGCGTAGAGATCTTATTTAACAACAACCCGAGGTTGTTTTCTAAACATCGTACGTTAATTCCTCGTGTTTCCCCCAATCATTCATAGAAATAAAATAATTCATATATTGAATTTAAATGTCAATTTTGCTCATTGTCATGAGATTATAACCTCATGATTGAATATGTTTACTGTCATGTATGGAGTGTTTTTGTGCCATTAACATTCTACTTTAAAGCATAAGCAAATAATAAATTACAAGCATCGGTAAATACAAGACAGAAATTATGTTTCAGTAATAAATTCATGAGATCGGTAAAGGAATTTTTCAGATCATTTCCTTGCTTCGTGGTCAGAAGTTTTATCGTTTTCAATAAAATAGTTAAACATAAACTAGATTTTAATACTTTTATAAAATTTAGTATTATTATTCTTCTGTATATTTATTTTTATTTATTCTAAATAGAGTGTGAATGAGATACTCATCTATCACTGTTACTGTTGTCCTTGATGTGACAGATGTGACAGATCGTAATATTTCACAGGAAAGAATAGGAAAAAAAAAAATAGAATTTTATAGATTTAATAAAGTCCCCACTACAGGAATCTGTGGATCACTTTAAATGTTGATTGCATATATTACACTTAACTTGGATTTACAGGCACTATAGCTTATTAATAAAAGGAAATAACATTGGCGGTTAAGAAAATGATGATTACGTGTCAATTGAAATTCTGCACGATTGCTTTAGAGGAAGCTGTAGATGGTTAATTAGAGATGATGAGAGAAAGCAACCTGTTATGCGAAAACCGCAGGTGAATTAAAACATAAATTTTTATTTAAATGGTATCTGATTATTTAAAAGTAATTTTAATTTGTCATTTTGTAGATAATTACTGAAATATTTTTCAAGTAGAGTTTTAAGAAAAATCTATATACCTATGCATTTCATCATAAAAGTACATTGTCGTTTTATTCCTTTCTTAGATATCTTGCAAGAAGCTCATTTATATTGGCCCCTTTGGGTGTATAGGGTCATTTAAGTCGTCGGATTATTTAATAAAAACTACAATTAAAAATCTTTTATATTTTTAACTAACTACAATAAACCCTCCTGCTTCCATTGGCTCGACAGATCATTAGTGATCCCTGGCCTCCTCCAATAACTTCCGCCAGTCTGCACGCTGTTGGGCAGAAATAATCCTGTCCTCTTTTTATTTTGTTGACCCCTGATTGATCGTCC